CTACAGTCTGCAGTATGGATTACATCTCAATGTAAAGAAAACAAAAATCCTCACAACTGGACCAATAAGCAGCATCATGATAAATGGAGAGAAGACTGAAGTTGCCAAGGACTTCATATTACTTGGTTCCACGATCAACAGCAATGGAAGCAGCAGTCAGGGCATCAGACGACGTATTGCATTGGGCACATCTGCTGCAAAAGACTTCTTTAAAGTGCTGAAGAGCAAAGATGTCTCTTTGAAGACTAAGGTGCACCTAACCCAAGCCATCGTATTTTCAGTCACCTCATAGGCATGTGAGAGCTGGACAGTGAATAAGGAAGATGGAAGAAGAGTCAATGCTTTTGACTCGTGGTGTTGGTGAAGAATATTGCAGGTACCATGGACTGCCAGAAGAATGAACAAATCTGCCCTTGAAGAAGTGGAACGCTCCTTGGAAGCGAGAAGGGCCAGACTATCACCTACTTTGGTCATGTTGTCAGAAGGGACTAATCCCTGGAGAAGGATGTCATACTTGATAAAGTGGAGAGTCAATGTAAACGGGGAAGACCCTCAACGAGATGGATGGACACAGTGGCTGTAATGATGGGCTCAGGTATAGGATCGTGGGGCTGGCACAGGACCAAGCAGTGTTTTGTTCTGTTATACATGAGTCAACAACGTGAGTCAACATGTTGCTATGAGGGTTCAGAGCCAACTCAATGGCACCTAACAAAAACAACAAATCCCCTTAGGCGCTCTGGTGGCACAGTGGTTAAGAGACTTGGCTGCTAACCAAAAGGTCAGCAGTTTGAACCCAGCCAGTGGAAGAAAGATGACACAGTTAGCTTCCATGAAGACTGACAGCCTCAAAACCCTCTGGTGGCAGTCCCACTTTGTCCTCTAGGGGCGCTGTGGGTTGGAATGCACTCCAGGGCAGTGGGCTTGGACTTGGGCATGTTCCCTTGCCTTTCTGTGGCCCTACCTTAAGGCTTAGCTGAAGTGGTGGAACTTCTTTCTTACTCACAGCTCCCGAAGGCTACTACTGTCTAGGCTCCCTCTGCTTGAGTCGGGATTCTGTTTCCCCAGGTGCTGACGGAGAGGAGCCTCCAACAGGCAGTTAAGTCTCACGGGTGCCTTGCTCCACACACAGCGCCCCCCCAGGCTCCCTGTTCCCCCATCCTCACATGGGAGCTCCTCCCAGCCACAAGCTCCTTCATCCTCCAGCCTCAGCCACAGCCTCCCCCCGCACCCCTGCCTTGTCCCCTAACCTCCCCAGCTCTCCCCTGCCGCACTCTGCAGGGTAACCCCTGCAGGAGGAGCGGGCAGTCCACATAGGAGGTGCAGGATGCTTTAGAGCAGGGACTGTGGTCAGGCCCAAGGCACAAGTTAGCCCACAGGGCAGCCCGTGGTGGGGAGCGCTGCACGCAGGCTCAGCTATGAGTTACCCTCCTGGTCCATGCAGCCAAGCCCTGGCTCTGGGTCCGTCCCCCTGCCCCTCCCCTTCCCCGCCCCCCCGCCCTGTGTCACCTGGCCAGCTGTGTTCTTGGGGACCTCGTGGGCTTCGGGGACCCAGGACGGAGGCCCAGCAAGCCGCCGTCCCCCTCCTGCTCCCAGCATGCCAGAGTCCTTGCTGGTGTCTGAAGCTCTGGGAGCCCCCCGGGGTGCCCCCTTTGGGGCAGGAACAAGAGAGAACAAGGACAGGCAAGGGGGGAGGAGCAGGAGGAGGTAGGGACAGCGGGGACCCCAGAGGGGACTGGGCCAGTGCAGAGAGCATGGGCGAAGGGAGGGGTCCGAAGGAGCTGTGCCCACCCTCAGCCTGGGCAACGCTTCACCCATCTGCTACTGGGGATGCTAGCAGCGCAGGCTACTAGGACGGATCAGTCTCCCCACTACGCCTCCGCCCCTCGGCCCCTCTCACAACCCCTCAGCATGCCAGGCTGCACCCCTTCCTGTTCCCAGAGCTCCCTCTTCCTTCATGCCCCCAGCTCTCTCATTCAGCCATAGCTGACCCGTGTCTTCCTTCTTCTGAGTTTGGGCGTCTCCCTGGTGGCTTGCTTTCCTGGGGGCGTGGTCTCCAAACGCAGGTGGGAGGGTCCCCCTGAGGGAGGTCCAGCCCCTCCCAGGACCGGGAGCGCCGCTGGGACCAGGGGACCGGAGCGAGCGAGGCAGGCGACGGGCCCTGGAGAGGGCTCCACAGGGCGGGCTGTGGGCCGGCCTCCTCCCTGGGCTGGCGCACCTTCACCGGCTGGCGCCACCTGGCCGCCCGGGGTCCTGGCCAACATCCGCCGCGTGCTTTGCGCTGAGCAACCAACGTGAATTCTCTCCTGGCTCAGGTGCACGACGGAGGAAGAGGGGGTGAGGCCAGAGAGTTGATCCTCGGTTTTCCACCGACCTGGGGGTTGTGGGGCGCCCCCTGGGAGTTGTGGTTGTGCACACAGCAGCGAGTAACGGAGTCGGAATGGGACTCGTGCTTGGTAAAGGAGAGGGTTCCCGGAAAAGAGGAGGACCCGGCGCGGGTGCATTGACTCGGTGGCTGCGCCGCGGGCTCAGGCGTAGCACGGATTGTGAGATGGCGCCGGACCCGGACGAGTGTTGTTCTGTTGGACACGGGGTCGCTGTGAGGTGGGACCCACTCTGTGGCATCTAACGCCAACATTCAATACCATTATGCGGTGGTCGTGCGGTCGACTCAGACTAATGGCGCCCCCTCGTGGGTCCAAGGGGAACTCCGCCCCCAGAGTTTGCAGTGGGGGACTTTTCAGGCGTAGACTACCAGGCCGGTTTTCTGAGGCGCCTCCAGGCGGACTTGAACCGCCAACTTTTTTTTTTTTTTTTTTAATTGTGATGTGGGTGAAAGATGACAGAGCCAACGCATTTTCCATACAGCAGCAGTTGATGCACATTTTGTCTCATGACGTTTTGTCTCCTGACATTGACTGCCATTCCCCACAATGCAACAGCTCTCCTCCCACTTCCTCCCTGTGGTTACCTCTCCCTGTGTCCTTCCCCCCCATGCACTCCTGTCCCCTGAGCTGTCTCCCTGTGCATACACTGCCCTTCTGCTCTCCCGTGACTGATCGCTCCAGGGAGGGTATCCATCTGATGTAAAGGTTCACCCCATGTGCCTGTCTGTGGTTTGGCTGAAAGCCACAGGAGTGAGTTCAATTCCGGACCTGAAGGGCAACTAGGGTCCATAATCTTGGGGGTCTCACCAAGCTCTGTCAGACCAGCAAACCTGGTCTTTTTCTTATGATTTTGAGTTTTGTTCCACATTGTTCTCCCACTCTAGCCAAGATCTGAAATTCTTAATTGTTGAACAAGGAGCGTCATGTTTTCATCTGCATTCTGTTCTGTCCGAGGGTCCAGAGAGCTCACAGGGTAGGAGGGGCACAATCTGCTCCAAGAAGTGCCGGGCCCAGCTGATTAGTGGCTGCTGGCCTGTCGCCTTCCAGGGCCAGACCTTCCCCCATCGCTCTTTAAACTTAAAAGAAAAAAAAATGAACTCACTGCCATTGAGTGGATTCCGACTCATGGTTCCCCAGTAGGTTTCCAAGGCTATAAATCTTTATGGAAGTAGATTGCCCCATCTTCCTTCCACGGAGCTGCCGGTGGGTTTGAACTGCCGCCCTTCTGGTTATCAGCTAGATGCCTCTTTCATCACTCCTTGCGGTCCTCAAACGTGAACTGTTACTGTGGAAGGGGACAGTCTGAGCTCAGCCTGCCATCTTGCCCTGTGACCACAAATGAACCTTGTCCTCAGCCCCAAATGTGTCACCTGGCTTCTGGGATGGGCCGGGAGTGTGGCCGATGACCTCTCCTGGGATGTCTTGACCCAAAACACATCCCATAGCAGCTGGTGGGCTATCAGTGCCTACCCCCCTTGTCCTGAGCAGCTGTCAACATTCGCTGGACCGTGTAGCTGAGGGTGCATGCTACAGGCCGTCTGGCCAACTCTGCTTCTAGAGCTGTACCCAACAAGGAGGGAATGAGGCCCTTCAACTGCAACACGAGAGGGGTGCCTGCAGACCACCAGCCCTGTGTTTGCTGTGGGGAGCGACCTGCTGGCCGTGGGGGACCAGTGTCCCCGACTGAAGCTGCTCTTGCTCTGTCTCATGCCTGTTTGAGTAAAGTGTGTTCCATCCACTGCCTGTGTGAGGGTTGTGGCTTTTTATTTCTTTTTATTTTATTGTGATTTGGGTGACACTTTACAGAACTCCTAATGGAAGTAAAGAAAAAGAAGAAAGAAATGTCCCTACCTTTTGAGTTCTGGAAAACGGCTTTCTGCAAACTGTTGTTGTTGTTGTTATGTGCCGTCGAGTCGGCCCCGACTCATAGCGACCCCTCCTTGGGTTT